ACACAATCATCAAAAAGAACAAATTCTTAAATAAACAAAATGAAAACAATCTACCCTCGCTAAATATACAAAATTACAAAACAAAACCTGAATGTATGTTGCACGACGGATGGTGACCGAATAGGGGCAAGGCGCCGGTATTACACCGCTTATATAGTAACTGTCATCCTAACCCCACTCTTAACCTAAGTAATATCTAACAATATTATATAAAAATGAAACCCGTTTCCCGGTGTCACGCCATAACTTGAGAACGGCAAGATTGATTTGGCTGTTTTTTTTTTTGTTGTGTTTATTATAGTCAGGAGAAGGTTCTTATGACAAAAAAGTCCTGAAAATCCCACTGGAACGGGAGAAAACGAGATTGCGCGTACGAAGTCGCAAGCAGAAGCTAGTTCATAATATAATCATGTCGATTTGATTGCCATACTTTTTACTGACCAGTAAACTGCTCAATTGGAAAGACATAAAAGTAATACGATCAGCTAAAACAATGCATATTTTCTCACATACATACATACATAACTTCAAGCCTGTCTCCGCCGTCCTCTCTATGGAACGCCAATTAGGTACTACGAATCCTACATACCTTTTTCGCTTCATCAACAGTCAGCCATCTTTATATATTATGCTTGAAATTTATTATACCTACTGAAAAGAAAAAGAATACCTCTCCTTAAACTATTCTTCCGTCTCTTTATTTCATCAGCACCTTTCCTATACACAACATCGTTGCACGCCATTATAGCGCCGGTCATTTTAAAAAAAATCACTAATACCACAATATCAACTACCGACGCATCTCGCGAACGTCTCAATCAAGATTACAATTAAATAAATACCTTTAGTTTCATGTTGATATTTACATTACGAATAACTGATGCAGAATGATAAATATCATCGTTATAGTTATTGTTATTCCATGTTATTATAAACAAATGCCAGTAATATTGAATAACAGGAATTCGCGTTTCCTGATTCATTTAAGATGCGCGTTTTGCGTTTGTGTCAGTCGGTAATGGCCGCCCTAGGAGAACATACCTACATATGCTAATGTATGATCTCCTAGGTCGTACATCGTCGAAGGCGTCGAGGAAACAACCGCCGTGACGCCTAAAGTGTTTTTTTATGGCATAAGCCGGTAAACGAGCAGACGGATCACCTGATGGTAAGCAATCGGTGTCGCCCATGGACACCTGGAACACCAGAGGCGTTACAAGTGCGTCACCGGCCTTTTGGGGATTAGGAGTTTGAGGATCGTTGGGGATTCAGGAATTGGGGAGATTGGGGAAGGGGAGGGTAATTGAGCCTCCGGTAACCTCACTCACACGACGAAACACAACGCAAGCGTTGCTTCACGTCGGTTTTCTGTGAGGTCGTGGTATTACTCCGGTCGTGCCGACCCATCTGTGCCCACACTTATAAAGCGTTGATTTCCTCTCTATAATATTGGCAGGCAAACCTACGGGGTCATGGGCGCATAGAGTGGGGGAATCTAGGCGCCCACCTAATTACCTCAAGGAAGACGGCGGCACAATGGTCACGTGCCGCCGTGCACTGCACAGAACAGTAACAGGCATTGCACCATGGGAGCTCCAGGACTGGTCTTCTAAAAGGATCCGGTTCCTCCTTCAGGTGCGGATGGTGGCCACCGCGGAGTTCTTAGTGAGGGTAGAGGAGGTCTTAGTAGAGAAGGTTTCATCTTTGAAAATGGTCTGATGGAGATTTTAAAGTACTCTCCAAGTCCAGTACATAGCAAACCGGATCACGTAAGAAGAGTAACAACTGCTACAGCGCAAAAATTGGTCTTACTCGTTAGTTCATTACGTAGCTACGTAAAAAGTTAATTGTACGTAGGGTACAATTAACTTTTTGAGTGGCAATTATATAATCGAAGGCGCCTCAAAAGAATTTCTGCACTCACGGACAAAACCTAAGCTATCTCAATCAAAAATCTTCATATTATATCGATATAGAGAAATTTTGTATAAAGATGGGTTTTTATTTCAGTCGCTAATTTGACTGCCTCGTTGGCCGAGCGCGACTGCCGAGCAAAGGGCTCGAGTTCGATTCCCGTGTCGGGTAAAGTATTACTGGGGTTTTTCAATAAATGTCAGTAGTAGCACGGAGTCTGGAAATGTGCCCGCCGCCCGAAGTATGGCAATAGGCTCACCGCTTAGGCCCCTATTACATGGGACTCATAACATAAAATAGTGGCAAGTGGGTGTTACATTGTACAGTGGCATTAAGTGCCGTAATTTGCACCTCTGCCTATCCCTTCGGGGATAAAAAGTGTGAAGTTATGTTATGTCGCCATTGTATTACAAACTCACCTGGGTTAACTTTATGGTAGACAGTGCCGACGGGTCCACTTGGAGGCAACTCCTCAGGCCGACTGGTCTTGAAATTGAACGCTGATCCGGCCTTAGCAAGCTTATCCTGAATGACCTTCTCATCAAGGTCATCCTCTGTTCTGGCGTGCATCGTCAAATGGAAACCAGTGAAGAAATTGGCTACATGTTTTATGTGATTCGCACATGTACCTTTGCGGACCGTCGGCGCTCCTTCCCCCTAAAATGGAGATAATTTTGGTTACATTTACCTTACATTTAGATTCATTAAGAGGTTGTGACAATCTATTGTTGCCTGTTGGTAGAAAGAAAGTATTTTAAGTGTGAGAGAGCCATGCTTCGGCACGAATGGGCCGGCTCGACCGGAGTGATACCACGGCTGAGCAGAAAACCGACGTGAAGCAACGCTTGCGTTGTGTTTCGTCGTGTGAGTGAGGTTACCGGAGGCCCAATTTCCCTCCCCTTCCCTAATCTCCCCAATCCCTGAATCCCCAACGACCCTCAAACTCCTAATCCCCAAGCCGGTAACGCGCTTATAACGCCTCTGGTGTTGCAGGTGCCCATGGGCGACGCCGATTGGTTACCATCAGGTGGTCCGTCTGTTCGTTTAACGGCTTATGCCATAAAAAAAGTGGCTGCATAGAAAGATTTGCATAACAGCATAATCTACACACTTGGCAAGGTTGAAGATTGCAGTACAGAAGGTTCTGGTAATATGTATAACAATAATTCTGGGCTGATTCCAAATTATAAAAAACCAAGAGGAAATGGTAGTCATTTTCCTTAATTCAATTGTGGTTCCCCAAAACGATAAGAAACGAGTTGATCAACGATAAGTCATGTAAATATTTTGTGTGGCCGATACATTATTCCGGATCTTGGTCCCTATGATGTATCTGTGAATTAGTATGTTTGTAAACTCACTTACAAACGACACAGAAGAAAATAGGGCGGGGTTAAAAAAAGAAAAAACAGCATGAAGGAAAAGGTGTGTGAGAGCCATGCTTCGGCACGAATGGGGCCTGCTTGACCGGAATGATACCACGGCCTCGCAGAATGTTTCGTGTGAGTGAAGCTGCCGGAGGCCCAATAACCCCCCCCCCCCTTCCGCAATACCTGAATCCCCAACAATCGTCAAATTCCTAATCCCAAAAGGCCGATAACGCACTTGCAACGCCTCTGGTGTTCCAAGTGTCCGTGGGCCACACCGATTGCTTACCATCAGGTGATCCGTCTGCTCGTTTACCGGCTTATGCCATAAAAAAGGCCAAATAATATGACATTAACTACACGTATTCCCAATAGACCAATAGATAGCTCTCATCATAACACAAGTTACAGATACAAATATGAAAAGAACCACACGATAAATTAGATAATATGATTGATCATCGACCACGTACGAACATAAATTAAATGGAAACGATGACATAACGTATTACTTGCTATCTTATGATGATTATAATGTCAACTACCTTCGTTATCAGTACCTATGTCACAATTCATCCCCTGAATAGAGTAAACATTACTGAGATACCGCTGTATGGCTAAAAATAAACTTGATTGCATAATTATGACTGATTTTATTGTATAAATCGCATGGATATGGGCAGAACCGTAGGCAAGCGCCTAGTACGCCAGCTTACAGGGGCGCGGCGCTGCGACGCCATGAGACGCATGGGCCAATGAAGTGACAGCGGCCGGGTGGCGTCACAATATATTAAGGGCGGCTATGAGGCATTTGCTCTGAGCGCTCTCTAGATGTAATCCGTGTCTGGGTGCCGTGCTGGTATCAAGTTACCGGATCATATGGTAAAGTTAGTAATCCCCTGTTTACATCATGGGGATAAGGATAAAATGAAAAAGAACAAAGTATAAAACTTCAACTGCCTCGTTGGCCGAGTGGTCACAAGGGATCTCGGTTTCGATTCCCGGGTCGGGCAAAATATTACTGGGTTTTTTCAATTCGCAGTAGTAGCACGGAGTCTGGAATTGTGCCCGATATATGGCAATAGGCACACGATTTATTACATAGGATTGATAACATTAATAGCGAAAAGTGGGTGTTACATTGTAGTGGCATTAAATGTCGTAATGTGTACCTCTGCAACCCCCTTCGGGGATAAAAGGCGTGATGTTATGTATAAAACTTAAAAATGTTCACAGATTAAAAACTGATCATGTAAAATAATTTGTCGCATCCAGGATTTCACGGTCAAGTGTGTATAACCACGAAGTTTGTTTTAAAATATTTCCTCGTTTATTAAGTTTCCTTATGTGGTCACGATAATAAATAATATTAATAGCTGTATTTAAAATGCTAAAACGTGTTGATATTTTGCTAACCGCAAGTTCGAAATGGCTGAACAGATTTCGCCGATTTACTGTTTTTTGTTTTTGTTAGGTAGTATTATAACAAACATAACATAACATAACATCACGGCTTTTTTACCCCCGAAGGGTTTTTTTTTTAAGGGGGGAAAATCATCGAATGACTGCTCCCGCCTGGGCGAGGCGGAAGGGAGTGTCAGACTCTTACTGACTAAAAACCACCCCGTTCCTTCTCCTGCACGTCGAGCCGGAGCCCCGGTTACCCGTTAGGTTCTCCGCGACTCCGAATCGGCATCGGCCCTATTGGGCCCCATCTGTGGTGGTCTGATGGCTCTTTGAGGCGCGCGCGGAACGCGACGCGCCGTACGCTCGGGTCTGTTTCTGGTCGGACGGGGAGCCACCCATGCTCGCCGTCCGCAGGCCCGCGCTTACGGTGGCCGGAGATCGTCCCGCGATCCCCGACGCCCGGTGTGTCCTTCGCGATGGCTGGGTTGCGAGGAGGCAGCGCTTCGCTGCCTCACGCGTCCCGCCTCCTCCTTAGCTAGCATGACTGCTTCGCAAAAGGAGGAGACGGCATCCCAGTCCCCCTCGCTCCGCATCATGGCCTGCACTAGGCCCGGACGCGAGAGGTCGCCATCGCCGATCACTTCCCTGAGGACACGGCGGTGCTCAGCCCACGCAGGGCATTCCGCGACAGTGTGTTCCACCGTGTCCTCAGGGCGGTCCTTGCAGTGACCCCCGAAGGGTTAGGCAGAGGTGCACATTACGGCACTTAATGCCAATATAGGTACAATGTAACACTCAATTTACACTATTTATGTTATGAGTTCCATGTAATAGGGAGTGAGCCTATTGTCATATACCGGTCACGTTTCCTGACTCCGTGCTACTACTGAGATCTAAAAAAAAACCCAATACTACTTAGCCCGACTCGGGAATCAAACCTGACCACTTCCCGGCAGTCGCACTTGCGACCACTTAGCCAATGAGGCAGTGAGGCAGTGTATTATTTATAAGTTATAACAAAGTTCTTATGACAAAAAAATCCAAGACTGGATCTAGGAGAATTAAGTTTAGTTATTTTTATTATACTAGCTTCAGCCCACGGCTTCGCCAGCGTACCTACTCGATAAAATGTAGTCTGAGTCACCTATGTTATAGTTATAAGTCCCATGTAATAGGAGATGAGCCTATTGCCATATACCGTTTACAATTCCAGACCCCGTGCTACTACTATATGTTATTCCAGAGCCTAACCTACCCTTGTTCCAAATATCATCCCGATCCCTTCAGCCGTGTTGACGTCATGACGTCAAGTTGTAACATACAAACTTATCTATACTAATATTAAAAAAAATTGTTTTTTTGTTTGTTTGTTTGAACGCGCTAATCTCCGAAACTATTGGTCTGATTTGAAAAATTATTTCTGCGTTGGATAGCCCATTTATCGAGGAAGGCTATAAGGCTATAAAATAGCACGCTACGATTAATAGGCGCCGAGCAGAGCGAGTGAAACGGCGCCGAAGTAGCTAGCGCATTTATAATATTAGTAGAATCTATCAGTGCTTGGCTTCGAAAAAAACACGAGCTGAATATAGCACTCAGGTGAAGCCAGGACTGATCGCTTGTTGCAAATAAACGCGATTATATGCGTTTACTCTTACTCTTATTTGTTTACTCTTACATACGCCATACGCGATGATATTTACTATAGATACAGCGCAGCACATAGTGGCTCAGTTGGCAACCGTACGTACCTACTTGTATTTCGTCTCTCATAGCTCATAAGATAAAACATTGTGACAGACGGAGAGTGAAATTACCTTATTATAGAAATAGGGTCCCGTTTTTAACCTTTGGGTATGGAAGCCTAAAATATTGTGGATAGACCGGTCTGGTACGAATTAGTTTTACGTATAAAGTAATCTGATTGGTCGGCTGCAATGAAGCAACCAATCAGAGGCCTTAGTACGAATTTCTTTTACGTTAAAAGTAATCGAAAGGAGACCGCGTTCGGCGCTCTAATTGGCCGGCTCCAATAAACCAACCAATCAGAGGCCTTAGTACGAATTTCTTTTACCTTAAAAGTAATCGAAAGGAGACCGCGTTCGGCGTTCTAATTGGCCGGCTTCAATGAACCAACCAATCAGAGAGTCTAACTCGTACTAAGGCCTCTGTATTGCGAAAATAAAAACCTATAGAAAAAAATATTTATGTAATAACCGAAGTTTGAACATCCTACCTTTACATATTACAAAATGCGAAAGTCTATGTGTAATTTAACAGTGTAAATAACGACTATAATTATAGTTGTTTACCTACAATAAATTCATTGGTATTTATCTATAGAAATACCTACGTACTACTTATAGATTTACCTACGACCAGCATTATTAATACATTTTCCCTAGTGAAACAAAAGCTATTTTTAATAATAATAACAATTTTGTTTACTTCAAATACGTTTTTTTAAACGTCATTCTAAATCTAATTGCCATAATACCGCAATTCTTAGCCATTAGTACAAGTATAATAGATTTAGTTTTAGACTTAAGCTATCGCAATGGAGAAAACTGTAATGATAGTTTTAGGTAAGGTTTTAAATAAATAAATAAATAAATAAGTTTATTTTACATTAAAAGTAATCGAAAAGAGACCGTGTTCAGCGCTCTTATTGGCTGGCTCCATTGAAGCAACCAATCAGAGCACCCCGAATGCGGTCTCGTTTTGATTACTAGGCCTCTCTAACCTTCCTTGAAGTTTTCTTATTGGAATGTCATAGGAGTCTTAAAAGTCATAAAACATAACCATTGTTAAAACTAACAATAGGTGTGCCCAAAAGAATAGGTAATCCAGAATAACAATATGTGGACTATGCAAAAAATCTCTATATGGGTATTAAACCTGCGACACACATTTTGCCAGTCACATAGCCAACGAAGCATAACATCATAACATCACGCCTTTTATCCCCGAAGTGATAGGCAGAGGTGCACATTATGCTGCTGTACAATGTAACACCCACTTTTCACTATTTATGTTATGAGTCCTATGTAATACGGGGTGAGCCTATTGGCATATACCAGGCACAATTCCAGGCTTCGTGCTACTACTGAGAATTTTTTAAACCCATTAATACTTCGCCCAACACGGGAATCTAACCCGAGACCCTTTGCCCGGCAGTGGCACCTGCGACCACTCGACTAACGAAATAGTCAATAAAGCAATTCAATACTATAAATATAGTCGTCTTTCTGTCCCTTACTTGAAAACATTAAAAGATCTAAAATAACTAATTTAAGTGGATTATGCAAAGAATTATTCCATATAAAACCATCCAATGACATATTGTACAGAAGATAGTCGCCTAGCAAATAGTTCAATCAAATACTATAAATATAGTAAACACTATCTAAACAAAACAGGCCACACCTATCTAAGATACAGTAACTATTCAAGTTATTCATACAAAACATGAATAACAATTTATATTATTATCTTTACAAAGAAAACATTGAGTATAATCTTATCTACTTACTTGCCAGTTGATAAGCACATATTTCGATAAGCTCCCATTCGGTTGGTCTACCTTCAGAAATGCATACTGTATTTTGCCACTGTTGAACTCATCAATAAGCTCGTCCAAACCTCCATCTCCTTTCTCAATAAATTTCAAGTCATTTGACTGTCCATCATAGCCAAATAGGACCCTGAAAAAAAAACATTTCATTTTTTAGTAATGGCAACAATTCATATTGGATTTTTTTTTAAATTGTAACCTTAAAATAAGTCTTAAATTAGGGTTTTCTGATATAATTGTGAGTCTATATTTTGACTAATCTAATTATAGTTATCAACAGGTCTACCATTATTTATTATAGCTATTAGTATTACATGTTTTATCACCAAAAAAATACAACAACAGGCATTTGATAACATCATGATAATGTTTATTAAAGGATCTATTTTAACTCGTCGAGTACCGGTTTTGTAGACACAATTATAGAACAATAGGTTGCAGTCACCGGTGACCACTTGGTGTTTGACAGTTTAAGCCTTCGACATATAAAAACTCCTTGGTCATTTAACAAAACAATAATGACAAAGATTTAGGGGTTCCACTAATTTTACTAATAAATAGATTATTTGATGTATTTTCTTTATGAAATGAGTCAAAGTATATGTCAATCTCATAAGAAATTAACTCGTCGAGTACCGGTTTTGTAGACACAATTATAGAACAATAGGTTGCGGTAACCGGTGACCGCTTGGTGTTTGACAGTTTAATCAGAGCCTTGAGGAAAAAAAGATATTGCTTTTAATATTTTTTTTTATAAAATCTATATAACACTTTTGTAAAAAGTGCTATAAAGAAAGTTCTAAACCTTGAAACAGAAATGTGCCTAATATGCTGTAATCATCTCTCCTTTCATAACACTATGATGTTTTGACTTTAAGACAAAGCAGGCATTATGTGATATAATTAGATAATGATACAAAAGAATAGCTATTTTGATTCAGTCACCCATTTGATAATATCTCAATTACACAGATTATTAGGTAATTACTTGAACTATCTACATAATCCATGTTCAACAGGAAAATGTAGATAAAAAATAATGTATTATTTTTAAATGAGTTTCCATGTTGCTTGCTATAGTGAGCATATTTTAATGATGTACTATGAGTGATTTATTATTTTTAATAGAGATTAAATGGGTACCTTATAAAAGTTAGAGTTGAATACCAATTAATTATTATTTCCCTATCATTTCTATCTAAATTGCAAAATTAAGGAGTGGTACTTGCTCGAGGTAGGGTTACATTCGAATTAAAAAATCAGGACACCAACCAATCTAACAACTTTTTCAATGTGATCGTTTCCACAAATTAACGCAGTCTTATTACAACCGCTTTAGTGCATGGAATGCAAGCAAAGGCAAGCGAATGAACTCCTTAACACTTCCAGCTATTGTTTCCTCTTATAAGGACCCCTGTTAACGCCACGCTAATGAATTCAATTCATTATTTCAATCAACGGCAGCTGTTTATTTAATTTCCCTAGCAAGTAGGTCGGTGATACGAAGATTCGGACTCACCAGTTAGTATCAGTTTTCTCGTCTAATACGTCCTTCCACCCTGCGATTAACGCCTCCTTGTGTTTATCTAAATTTATGGCCATTTTACATTATTTGTACTAACTCCTACACGAAATAAAGAAGCCGAATTGTTGGAAAAAAGCAAAATAAAACGCCGATAAATCGCCTGACTCACAACAATTTTTGCCACAGATTATCTTTGTAAAGGTTTTTGAACTTTGTGACAGCTGAAATGTGTTGCCATATCAAAAAAATAGTACAAAATTGTGCATCCTTTTTTCGATATCCAATTTTTATTTTTACATTTTTTTATTCCAATAACTACAAATAGAATAGTATGTCTTAAATCAAATAAATAAATATTTTATTACATAGAAGCACGTAAGTAACAAGTACCTACATAACAATACATTACACAACACAAAACTAGAAGACGCCTGGCTAAAATGTGTTAGCATTATTTACTTTCTATTCGCAGACAATCCATTTAGCTCATATATTATTCACAGGGATCCTCAATCCCCGCCTCATATTTTAAAGAATAAGATTTATTGCCCATTACTGTTTGCTATTCCCACGTACTACAACAGTCTTGGATTTCCCCCTTGCGCGCGCATTCTACTTTACAAGCAAGCCCTTAACACCGTAGGTATCGCAGAAACTTTCATTCATAACAAGCCGTAGTCAGTAGTCACGACAGAGATCGCTTGGTGGACAAACGCCGCGCTAAATTCCGCCATGGCTTATTTTCGTATTATACAATAATAAACTGAATAAAAATGTGGGTAGACGTCAGTGCGCGGGAAAAACAAAATTACATGACGCAAACAAACGGATCATTTATACCCGGGTAAGTGATTGGTTGTAATTATTCGTTTATTTTGTTGATGAAAATATTGGAGGGAAAGCGTCGAGTGTTTGAGACATTGGGACATAAATATTTTGGTGTGTAGTACATTTCTTTTCTGACGTCAGCATATTTTATTGTTTATCGTTGAAGTGGTTTGTTTTATTCTAAGAATTCGGTTATAATAAATTCCTTGTGACATGGTTTTAGTTTCACAGGATTATTTATATTATTTTATATTTAAACTTATAAAAACTGCGCACTTGAATAGGCGTTTCGTCAATTTAAATAGGAACGTATATTTTTTACACTTACGATACAAAAACAAATAAGTATGTACTACGTTACTGCCTACATATACTTACCTAAGTATTCGCCTGTGGGTACTTGGTACCAGTCACCACCGAACAAGGATATTATGTAGGTATTTGCAAACTGTCTTCACCTGCTGTCCCAATTTAAAGGACATTAAAGGACGGGAACACAAGTAAGTTGCACACAGGCATTTTCATAGCAAATTAAACCTATTATAGACTAGATTTTTATATTAAAATAGTTTATTTATTATTACTGAATAACCTAACCTAAGAAATACATCAAATAAAGGGGGGCTAAAGGCGAAGTACGCATTCGTAGCGACATAGATAAGATTACTTGCCTACTACCTATATATCTACATAGTAATTGGGTGAGCTGGAGCCTGGAGCTCTATCCATTTTGGAATACGCTATTTAAATATGTAGGCGATACCAAACAGGTCCTAATGTGTGAAATGAAGCTATGGTCACAGATTAAAATAGAGCTCTCAATTTGGCGGCAACAATTTATAACGGCAAATTCAAATTAATACAAAGTATGTTCTTAAAATTAGAACAAGACCCGTAACGACCGCCCACAAACATCGCAAGTCTAGAAATCATTAATTTAACAAGCCTACATAAAATATCCTTTTACAAATATCAAAAACGAAACTGTAATTTTTGTTTGAACATTATGTAAAGTCTGTTGCGTGCCTAGAATGCCAATTTATAAAAAAAAACATGACGTTTCGTCAAATGCCTATAGCGAAGTTTCTGTGTTAGAAAATGCTAAGGAAATATTTAGAATTTTTTACTTAAGTAGTCTGCGAAACTGAAATATCTTTAGTGAAATGTCTAGAATTTGAAATAATGAGAAATAAGATGATTATTTGGGAAGTTGCTAGGCACTAGTAGAGTGCTTATTTGGCGAGACCGTATCGTAAATTGATCAAAGAATAATAAATTTATTAGATGTTGCCTTGGCTTGTTAGGATCGTTTTTCTTTGTAATAGAAATGTTTGTTAGATGAATATTAGAATTAACTTTTATGTAGGTCAGAGAATATGTACTCAGGTACCTAAGTACCTACGTATTCTTTGTCTACTTTTTTTTTTGAGGGGGATAAATCATCCAATGAATACTCCCACCCGGGTGAGGCGAGAGGGAGTATCAGCCTCTTTCTGACTAAAACCACCCCGGTTCTACTCCTGCACTTCAAGCCGGACCGCCCCGGCAACCCGTTCAGCCCTCCGCGGCTCCGTAATGGCATCAGCCGTATGGGCCTACGTATTTCAATAAAAACCAAAACAATGCTGTAATATTTTAAGGTAGGTAATTACTTACATTTTAGGATGCTTTTCCACAAAAAAATAATGTTATTTTGTTGAAGATAGATTTTTCTTACACCTAGAAAAATGGCAGCGCGTAAAAATGATAACACAAAACGTTTATTCAACATGGAACAAGGGAGAATTTTCCGCGGTTAACAACCAACTAGGTACCTCTGTAAGTCACGTTTCCCTGCCACCTGACCTAAAGGGCGATCACCACTTCAAGGATAATTCCCGCTTCGATTCAAATTGTTCGACAATTAAACATGAAACAGCTTCTATGCAGGCCTTTACTTCTCATAAATAATAAGGTTCATTCATGAAGGTCTTATTAAAATTCATATTAAGAACTGTGTGACTGTAAACTGTTTATGCTGTTTAATTTTAATTAAAGATTATATAACATAAACAAAAGCAATAATTACCTTTAATGTGCCTAAAAATACTTATAGAATTGTAATGTTTTTGGAGGAAAATTAGGTTCCCACCCCGCAGCCCGCACCCTCGCACTCACGTAAGACATTGTACACTGTTGTGCACCGTCATTAGCACAGAAAAAAAAACAAAACAAAAATTCGAATATAGAACCTCCTTGTTTTGAAATCGCAAAAATTACATGTTTTTTTTTTTATAAAGTAGTATAACGTTGAAACGCGTTGTTGATTTAGTTCGTTGTACCCAAAGAAATACTTTATTAGATCTATGGTTGTAGTTTGTACCCATGACTAGACACTGAAGCAACATTTAGACTTTAACAACTGGCTATCAGCTTATATGACTTGCTTTTAATCATTTAGATCTTGCTATACCCCCTTCATCTTCGTAAGCTAGGGGACTCCACTACATAAGAACTTTTTACAACGGGGTAAAAAAAGATTATCGAGCCTTAAATACTTTACCGGGCACAGTTCCAGACTCCGTGCTACTACTGAGATTTTTTTAAAACCCAGTAATATACTTGCCCTTGCGACCACTCGGACAACGAGGCAGTCAGTAGGTACTTAATATACCTACATTTACGCATACATATATATCTTTAACGTTTCGTAAGAGTTGTCTACACGATGATAATAATAATCACAAAAATAGCGTTGATTTTCAGCAAACAACATTAAAATTATACAAGAATTTGTGTACGGAAATATGGCCGAATAAAGGGTCTTTTATCTGATTGCGGTCGTTATTCAAAGGTCACGCTTGTCGTTAGGAAGTCTCCGGTTTTGTCACGATAGGTACCTACGTAGGTAGTGTAATAGGTATGATGGGTTCGCTTTCAGGGATCATGATTTTCAGGTTTTGAAGGATTTTTTTTTGTTATCTGTGTTTAGGTTGTAAAAGGTTTATAATGTATTAAAACTGCAGCTAAGTATGTTACAGACACGTCTAAGCATAAGTTGTTATAATAGGGGTTTTTTTAAGGAGGGAAAATCATCGAATGACTGCTCCCGCCTGGGTGAGGCGGGAGGGAGTGTCAGACTCTGACTAAAAACCACCCCGTTCCTTCTCCTGCAAGTCGAGCCGGAGCCCCGGTAACCCGTTAGGTTCTCCGCGACTGTTATAATAGGGTAGATGCCTAATTTTTATTTTAATGTCCGTCTGATAGATTATTTTAAATCATTAGACACGTTTTTTTTATTTTCTTACAGAAACGAATACTTTCGACGATATATTGATTTGAAATGTCGCGTGACGTCACTTCTATGTACTTATTATACGTAGAAATAACGTTTTAGGAGTCAGTGGGGCTCCTAAACTTTGATTCGTTTTGTCTTAGTATTGTTTTATTATATCTTACGACAAAATAAAAAAATACGTGTCTAATGTTTTTTCATTACCTAACTTACGGACTAAATAGATAAATAATGCCGTAATGTGCCTACGAATATACTAATAAAAGGCATGATGTTGTGTTATAAGTTACATAAATGCAAATTATAAGCTGCTTATTTCAATTAACTTGTTGAGTACCGTCATTATAGACACAATTAAAGCACAATAGTTAGTGTTTGACAGTTTAAGTACTCAGTACCTACCTAGTCAGTAAGCTTGCCAGTTGTATATAGAACTGAGCAGTCACTTATTTCCAAGTCACGCCATATTTTCATAACAAGAGAGAATTACTTGGCATAATAACGAAGAACAATATGAATACTAATTAAAGGAAAATTGCTTATTTACTAAAGAAATAGAAAATATTATAATACCTTAAGTACAGGTACGAAGGTTTGTATTGCTACAAATTACGAACAAAATGCTTTGATTCGCGATATTAGACGTGAGTTAGATTCTGATATTATTGACTTTCGGATTTTTCACTACCCTATAACACGATTAAGTGTGTTTTTCTAATTTAGTTTTAAAATAGGTAGGTACTGTATCAATCTTTATTTATTAAGTGTGGGAGAGGTCTGCTTCGGCACGAATGGGCCGGCTCGACCGGACCGGAGTGATACCACGGCCTCACAGAAAACCGACGTGAAGCAACGGTTGCGTTGTGTTTTGTCGTGTGAGTGATCCCCAATTACCCGCCTCTTCCCCAATACCTTCAATTCCTGAATCCCCAACGGGCAACGATCCTCAAACTCCTAATCCCCAAAAGGCCGGTAACGCACTTGTAACGCCTCTGGTGTTCCAGGTGTCTATGGGCGACGCCGATTGCTTACCATCAGGCAATTTTGTTTTTATTTATCATTTCATGTACACCATAAAGCAGACAATATTACAGAGGACAACACATTAAAAGCATGTGGTAACTACATTTTTTTCTGCAGACCTGCGACTGGAAAAGGAATATAGACATTACATTCGCGGAGAACCTAACGGGTTACCGGGGCTCCGGCTCGACGTGCAGGAGAAGGAACGGGGTGGTTTTTAGTCAGTAAGAGTGACTCTCCCTCCCGCCTCACAAAGGCGGGAGCACTCATTCGATGATCTACCCCCCTTAAAAAAAAGACACTTTAGTTTCTTACTTATTTACCAAATCACTTGGCTGACTGCTCCTACCACCACGTCACGTAAATTCTATAGTAATTCAAGTTGCATTGACCAATGAATAATCTAGGTCTCAATACACCTATCTAGGCTCAAGAATCATAGACTTAACCGGGTCTTATCAAGTGCGGTATAAAGGCAATAATTTTCTATTGCCTCATGGTCCCAAGTGACGGTCAGTGTTGATAAGTAAATTGGCAATCTCGGCTACTGTTACTAGAGCGTGGGCAGCATATGCCCATCTTCTAGTCTAGAATTATAGCCTTGATCTATGTTTAACAATGATATACGTGTCATGAATCACGTATCATGTTGTTTTAGCTGTTACCAGCGATCTCGTTCGCGTGGTCAATGGAGAAACTTGATCTCATTTTTTCAGACA